TCGTATAGTTTTAAGAATGGCTGTCGTCAACTACTATCGTGTATATATAAACAAGCATCNGTTTACCATCGCACACATAATTATGTATGTGTGCTCGATAGTCATTAAAGTGTGTATATATCTACTTATTTGTTGAGTCAACGAGAAACCTTGTTCTGCTATGCACTGATAATATCTTGGTGGCATTAAGTAAGCCAGCTTATAGTAGCTAACAACGATCTTACCGAGCTTATAGGCGATAGTCGATGTCTGCTTTCCTCATGATAAGTAGTCGGATTCGTAAGGCCGCTCATGATTACCAACAGCTCGTAATTCAAAAAAGAATTTTATGTCGGAAGCGGCAGCTGCGAACGATGGCAGGAAACTGTACGACTGAATGTTCTAAATATATTGCCAGGTATAGCCAAAGAGGGCGACAATAGTTTTCTATCGATATTTTTTATTGAAGTCAAAAATGTGATCTACAGAGTGTACAATATGCACATATTCCCCAAATCAGAACATAACGTGATTGTTGACGCCCACAGATAACTACTACGCAGTTGTATATCATCTGTCTTGATGTGCACGTGGCCCTCGCTAGTGTCTCGGAAGTTATCTAAAATTTATTATAGAGCATAGAAGGAATGACACATTGTAAAATTCCAAACTGCTCAAGACCTCTTCAATGTCATCATCAGATTATGTATGTTACAAAAATTACATAATAAGGATCTACATATTTTGTATATTTTTTTTAGAAATATTTTGTAGTTCACAGAACAGTAGGGATAATATTATATATTTCAAAAAAAGATAAGTTGCATTGTAAATATGTACATATGGTATGGCTCTCATAGCCGTTGTAGTGGTTCGGGAAAGATCGATGGGAAGAAGTGGTCAGTAAATTCGCGTTTAAAGCTTTGACTCGTGAGTAGGTTAGCTGAAACATATGCATATGTAACATATAATAGACAATTTACCGAGCTCTTCCATCATCTATGCTCGGAATATCTTACTTTGTTGCATATATTTCGAACCTCCTGAATATCTACCTAGAATCCACTACTGTAGCACATGTTATGTTGTATGCTTCTCCAACTCGTGGCCTTTCCGGTTTTATAGTAAATTAGGTGAATGACTGAACCAGCCTACCTAGTGCTAGGTTGGTTGGTTTAGTCATTCACCTAATTTACTACAAGCATTTGAATAGAGTGCCAATTTCTCTCTGGCAATTTTATGCATGGTAAATGATAAAGGTTGTATTGTTGTATAATATAGGTATCTGTACGACTCATTAGATACCCTCTGACTGACCAGGCTGTCCCCCATGTATGCGAGCTGCATGTTTAGCTCGCCATTCATCCAGCATCTTGCGTCTGGATCCACTGTCCAGAGCAAAACAATACCCTTTCTTTATCGCACTCTTCCACCTGGCTACAAATTAATATGTTGGGCTGTGGACAAAGTACTTAGGACGGACATTTAGGACCGGACCAGAGGGCCCGACCTACAAATGGAATTTCAGGACCGGACCAGAGGACCGGACCTGAGTAGAATACTACAGTACCGGGCTGAGGCACCGGACTGAATATTGGGACAGAGGATTTAATATGAAATAATGATGACTCAAACGGTGTCATCATAAGTTAGTTACTTGGAGACGACGACAATATGTAGAGATGACTCATACGGTGTCATCATAATTTAGTAACCAGAAGACGAAAACGATAGATACGGGTATTTTCATAATTACTCATTGTTAGAGGAAATCTCGTTTCATGTAGGGACGGGATAATAAATATAGCAGACGCACCGATCATAACGGCACTTCTAACTGAGTTCACTTATTTCAGACTTAACATTCTTTATTAAGTGTTACTTGGTTTTGGCCACATTTTTAAGTGACCGAACTACTGTATTTATTATACTACGTTCTTGAAAGGTTAAATTAACTAAGAAACAAATTAGTTTACTTTTATGTTTTTACAACAATGACAGGACCCGAGACTATACCGTTGCCTACAACTGTGGGTAAGCAAGCTTGTGACCAGCTACTTAAACTGTTGCTTGGAACGATTCGCCATTTAACCGAGCTATGCGATAAGGTGGATACAGCACGTGCCAAGAAACCTGCATCCGAAGACGACGAGAAGGTGGAAATCCATTTGGAATTGACCCATTTGCTTTTGAAGGCCCAGTACTCAATCCAAACCTCGGGTAGGCTTAGCTGAACACCAGCATGGATTGCGGATCAAGCAAGACACTTGAATACGCTGATGTGTAAACTTCGATGGAAATTACTAGGTTTCAAACTATATTAAACTAAAATACAATTTAGTCAGTTAGGATTTAGCAGTGGTAGCTTGTGTAAGAATGATCGGGACTGCCTCTTGTTAAAAGCCTAAATATCCTCGATCACACAGGGCGTACCTCTAGCTGTTCTTTATTGAATAATTTTCACTAGAAGTACTAAGTGTTCATGACCACATGCCTAATTTGTAGATAGACATAATAACGTAAGTCACGTTAATACATTAGCTGATATAAATAAAGTTCCATCAGAAGAAAAGTTAAAAAAG